GAGTGATGACTAAGCATGGGGTCAGCCGGGGGTGGGGGTTGGGGATGGCCGGTGTGCTTTGAGGAATGTTAGCCTTGTCTGCAAATTCACAGCTCTTCCCTAACAATCGAGGGGCCCAGTTGTTGAGTTCTCTGAGCCCCTTTTTGAAAGCAGGAGAGTCTGAGTGCATTCTGCTTCTCCCAGGTGTCCTTGGAATTCTGGCATGCTGTGGAGTCAGAGTTAAGACCCCAAAGATTCCTTGTGGTCTCAGCCTTGCTAACAGTTTACCCCTGGCCCAAGAATACCACTCTCCAATGCTTTTGGCAGGGACAGCAGTGCACATCCCAGTTAGGCCCCTGCTAAAGATGTCCTCCTATCAGTGTGGCTTTTGGGAAAGCCCAGACTCCCAAGGGAGCGTCTATCTGCTTTCTAGTCCTGGGACTTGCCACCCAGAAGGGCCTGACCTTTCCTAACTTAGAATCAAGTAGAATAAAGTTTCTGCTAGACTTCCAGGCAGAACATCCCATCCCAGCCTGGCATAGGGAGCTGGCCTGAGTTTAGAGAAGGCTTTCCAACTCTTCTGTTCACTCACTCTCCCTAGAGAGCTCAGGTCAAATGATCCACTTACCATAAAGGACCAGGGCAGCGAACACCAAGAAGCGCAGCATGTTGCCAATGGAGTAGACCACTGCCCCTTGCCATGTACTAAGCCCTCTTTATATTCCTCTTATCAGCAGCTTTGCTGACCTTCTTCCTGCCAGCTGGCAGGGCTATGGTGGAAGGCAGGGAAAATCACAGGTGACATGTAAATATAAATGAAAAGATTTCTTTTCAAGTAAACTAATTTATCTGTTATTCAAAGACAGAACAAGGTCAGGGCTGAATTAATCATCTGCTTTTAGTTGAAAAGCATCCAACAAACTCTTTTTCAGAAATAACATAGAGAACCAGGACAGGTTTTTCCCTCAGGGTGCTTCCATCATCATCTGTCACGGCCTCACCATCCTCAGTGCAACCATAAATTCAGAGACATGTCCTGTGCACCAGCAGGCTGAGGCAATGGGGATGGTAGAGGAAAGATTGGTTACAAAAAGAAGGAAAACAGCAAGTTTCCTTGCCTGATGGGGTATGCCCTCAGCATGCTGCATAAATACAGGGAGACAGAAAAGTGGAGAGAATTTTAGTGGAGGGAGGTACTGAGAAACAGGTTTGGGGAGACTCTCAGGTGAAAGATCAAAAGGAGATCCAAAAGAACATGTGGAACAGATTAGAGGAGGGAAGCCCCTGAATAGGGAATAGTCTGGGGGGCCTGAAGGTAGAAGGCATAGGGAACAAAAGGGTATGGCAGGAGATGAGAGGCACTGCCCCTCAAAATCAGTAGAGGATAAAGAAGGGAGGGATTGTATGTCTTGAAGTGGGCAGAGAACCTTGTACTGGGCATAAGATGGCCAGGGCCATTGCAGGCCTCACAGAAGACTATGGATGGAAAAGTGATGGTGACAAACCATGGGATTTTGATTCCCACAGAGTGAAGCTGGGAAGCCAGGAAGGAAGCAGGAAATTCACCTAGGCCACCTGGGGCTTTTGTTGCCTAGACATTCCAGAATCTAAGCTGGTGCCTGTAGGGTTGGGAGAGGCCAGAAAAGGCCATAGGATAGAGTCTGCACATACTTTCCAGAGTCCTGAGCTGTTCAAGACCAAGGACCCGCACTTTGATGCCTGGATAACTCCCACTTCAGTACAACTCCGGCATTCTGACACAAAGTGGACCTCAGGGGAAAGGTCTGGGTTGGGCTAGGGAACCATGGCCGATTTTATCATTCTCCTGTCTCCTCTGGGCAATAGGAGACAGCACTAGCCTCAGGATGAGGAGTACCAGAAGGCTTGAGTGCCTCCTAAAGGTTACTCTTTGATATCACCTATCTACAAGTGGTGAACTTGTAAGGACAGGGCCAAGTTCATATCCATCTTTGTACCCTTGGCTTAGCCCAGAAAAGCCTCAGTTAGGGACTGTGACTCCCTATGGCTTATGTGGCCTATTAGCATGACATTCAAAGGCTTTTTCAAGTAGGCTTCATTCCACTCTTCTGCAGAGCAGACTTACCCAGTAGGCACAGTGCCTAAGGCCCACAATACCTTGAGGGGCCCACAAAAAATTTTGGCTTCTTTTAAAATCAGAAGAAGGGGGGCCAGCCAGGTGGCATAGTGGTTAAGGTGGCTAGATCCCATATGTCCAACTGCACTGTTTGAGTCTTGGACCTGGCAGCTTAAAAAACACACTTGGGGGACCAAGAGATGGTGTAATGGTTACATCACTTGACTCCCACGTAGTCAACCACGGTTCAAGTCATGAACCTGGCTGCTTAAACTCATGCCAGGCGTGTATGTGTGTATGCCCAAAATCCTGAGAATGAAGGGATTGTGGTGTGGCTATCACCCATGGGAGGTTATTTCCTGCTTTCTACCTCTATATTTCTCCGGTGAGCACATTCACCCTGTAGCAAAAATCTCTCAAAACAAAACCAACAAAGCACTGGGTGCAGGGCCAACAGGTGGCATAGTGGTTAAGGTGTTGGACTCCGACATGGTTGACTGTGGTTCAAGTCCAATACCTGGTGGCTTAAAACTCATGCAGGGGGGCCAGCAGGTAGCATGGTAGTTAAGGGTACTGGACTCCCACGTGGCTGACCGTGGTTTAAGTTCTGGACCTGGCAGCTTGCTTTCTCACTTTCCCTCTTTCGTGCTCTTTCTCAGTCTATCCCTCTCTGGTCACATAAAAATAAATGAAATAAAGATAAATAAAATAATTCTTAAAAGCAAAAACAAACTCATGCAGGGCACATGTACATGTGTCCCCAAAATCCCAAGAGGAGAGTGGAGTAGAAGGGATTGCAGTGTGACCATACCCCCTGGAGAGTTATTTCTCACTTTCTGTCTGTTTCTTTCTGTCCCTCTGATGAACACATGTGCCCTGTAGCAAAAATCTGTCAACAGAACAAAAACACACTAAGCAGGGAACCAGCAGTTAGCATAATGGCTATGTCGCTGGACTCCCACGTAGTCGACCGCGGTTCGCATCCTGGACCCGGTGGCTTAAAACTCACACCGGGCGCATGTACCTGCATGCCCAAGATCCCAAGAGGAGAATGGAGGAGAAGGGATTGCGGCGTGACCATCCCCCCTGGGGGGTGATTTCTCACTTTCTGTCTCTCTGTCTGTCTGGCGAGTGCACGCGCCCTATAGCAAAAACCTCCCCCCCCCAAAAAAAAAAAAAAACAAAAAACCCCACACTGAGCGTATGTGCATGTGTGTCCAAAATCCCAAGAGGAGAGTGGAGAAAGTATTGTGGAACAGTCATCCCCCTGGGTGGGGGGGTGCTTTCTCATTTTCTCTCTCTCTCCCTGTTTCTCTATGGTGAGCCCACACCAGAGCACCTATAGCAAAGTAAAAAAATAAATAAATCAATCAAAAGGGCTAGCTCTGTAGTACAGTGGCAAAGTGCCATGTCTTTGGAACCAGATCACATGTAGCTGACCGAGATACAAAACCTAGCCTAGGAGGCTTGAAAAACCATGCAGGTTTGGGGACCAGCAGTTCGCGTAATGGCTATGTCACTGAACTCCCATGTAGCCGACTGCAGTTTGAGTCCCGGACCCAGTGGCTTAAACTCATGCCGGGCGTGTGTGCATATGTGCCCAAGATCCTGAGAGGAGAATGGAGGAGAAGGGATTGTGGCATGGCCATCCCCCCTGGGGGGTGATTTCTTGCTTTCTATTTCTCTGTCTTTCTGGCAAGTGCACACACCCTATAGCAAAAACTTCTCAAAAAAAAAAAAAAAAAAAAAAAAAAAAGGAAAAAGAGAAATGCAGGTTTGGTTTTGTAGTGTCACTATACTCCATTGGGGAGAGTAGTCCCTCTCTCTCACTTGGGTGAACACATGCACCCTCTGGCAATTTAAAAAAAAAAGGAAGAAAAGGAAAAATTTCCAAAAATAAAAAATAAAATCACATCACTCTTTAAAAAAAGGTAGAATATGGGACCAGTAGGTGGTGTGGTGACTAAGGCACTGGAAACCCATGTAGCTGACCATGGTTCACGTCCTGGACCTGGTGGTTTGCTTTCTCACTTCCTCTTTCTCTCTGGTGAGTGCACATGTCTTGTAGCAAATTAAATAATAATGATGATAATAAATAATTCTTTAAAAGAAAAAAGGCAGAATATACAACTAGCCTGGATTATATTCATCTTCATACCAATGCAGCTATAAAATATAATTTTAATGAAGCAGGGGTCTTATGAAGGTAAATGTGCATAGGGCCCACAAAAGTCTTAATGTAGCCACAATCTTCCAGCTTCTATACCTATTGCTTCCTCACCCTGCTGTCCTTTTGGTTTCCCAGACCCTCTTTTCGTTTTGTCTCTGTGTCTTTGCACATGCTAGATTGCTGCTTGTGGGGCATCTCTGCTTATTGAGCCCTTCCCACCTGTGGACTCATCCTTTGAGGTCTTGGGTCAAATGTCAGTCTTTGTGAGGCCCTTCTTGATTCACTTAATAGAATCGTTCCTTTTAAATCATTGAGCACTTTTTTGAACATCTTCAGGCATGTCATGATCTGCTTATATTTAGAGTGTGAATTCCAAAGGCAAGACTTTTTTTTTTTTTTTTAATAGATAGAAAAGGTTTATTCATTTTCCAAGGGATGCAAGGGGCAGATGTGGAAAGCTGCATCAGCTCTGAAGTGTGTCAGATAGGGAATTTTAAAGGAAAGGGAGATTTAGGGTAGGATGGTTAAGGTGGTCCTGAGACAGCAGGCCAGATGGGGAAGACTTCATCTTACATCTCCTCATGTATACATGCTTGGCACACAGAGGTTAGGTTTGAGGCCAGAGGATAGATATTTAGGGACAAGAGACCATGGCTGTAACAGGAACTTTTCAGATGTATGTGGCTCTTCACAGCCTGAATCATCTCATTCAGCTAAAGGACAAAGCAAGGGAAAAGGAACCCAACACAAACTTCCTTTACCAATGCCATAAAATCTTTATTTCCACTGGGATCCCTTGTCCAATTCTCTTATTTTTTTTCAGGAAAGAACTTTTCCTTTCCCCTACTCCGGGTCACATCCTGATCACTCTCTCCTTTCCCTTTGGCAGGTCTACTCCAAGTAGTCCTCAAGTCTCTCCAGGACTTCAGAGGTTTCTGATAGCGATAGCGCAGAGTTGTGGGAACAGGAGGCAGCTGTGGTCCCCTGGCACCCCCATGTGGTGACAGGCTGCTACAGAAAGCCAAAAGAGCCTTCTAGGATAGAATTTTAGTCCTCCCCTAGGCAGCTGGGCTTTCTTCTTCAGGCAAAGAAATCCTCCATGAGGTGGGGTTCAACTTGCTTGGAGAAGAGCTGGTCTGGACGGTGGGTCTGCTCCATGCAGGGACTTCATATGAGTACAGCAGATAGGTCAGTCTTTCATGTAGGACCCTGCATGCTGCCCCAGTATTCTCAGACTTCCCAGACCTCTTGTTATTATCTGGGTCCTAGCCTCTCAGGGCTGCCAATACCTTGCTGGGTGGCCAGGGACTTATCTGGCCTTGGTTTCATAATATGAAAAGATAGGGTTGGGCTAAAGCAATGATTTTTTAATTGTGCTTATAGATTTTTTTAGAAATTCAGGTACTGGAGGCATTACCCTACCTCCCTCAATTTTACCCATGCAACTTTCCTTTTTATCTACCAGATATAAGGAGATTAGAAATAAAAGGGTTCCAGGACTTAAATTGGGCGGTCACTGGCACCATGAGCTTTCTTTCAACATTCTATCCCAGGATTGCCAAATGTGGTCTCTCCCAATATGGATACCTGGATTTATCCTTACAGGCTTTATGGAGGCCAATCGTTAAGAAATGGTCAGAATGGAGGGAGGCGAGAATGGGAAGGCTGGTGATAGTTCTTTAGTGTTCTGTGGTGTGCTGGAAAGAACCTTGGTTCAGCACTGAAGACTGAACCTCAGTCTTAGCTCCAGCTATCCACTAGTTTGGGATGACAATCTTCTTTATCTCTCTGCCTCAACTTTCTGATCTGTAAAATGGACACAGTGGTTCCTATCCTTTTTCACAGGATTATTGTACATACCTGTCAGGGTGCTTCCTATAAACTGTAAATAGTCTATAAACTCTGGATGATACTAGCAAGGGAGGCTCTCTTAGACCTCTAATCCCTCTGTTGGCACACACCACTTCACTGAATTCTGTGGGTGCTTTGGATGAACAGAGATTCAGGACATGGCTGTAACAGTACTTTTTGAATTCAGCATTGCTATCCTGAGCCCTTGCCCAGCTGCCTTCTCTGCTTTGGAGGTCTGTTTCTAGAACAGAAGGAAAGCCCTAAGCCAAATAAGCCATGTATTCTCATGGTCTCTTCCATCAGTATAGAGGGAAAAAAAATGGGCTCAATGTTGTTGCAGGGAGTAGGAAGGTCCTGCCGTGACATCCATTGAGTTTAGAAATCTATCTTTAAGGCTTCTAGAGAAGCTCATCATCAGGTTCTCAGACATCATCAATCCTGTTTCCTGAGAGCTTGTGTGGGCTTCCACTGAGGATGGTCCACTGAGGCCTAGACAAAGAGCCAGAGCTGGTGGGGATCTCTGGGATTGCAGGGGGCCATGGCTGGCTTTTTGTCCTGGGATGTCAGGCAGGTACCAGATCCTAAATTCCTGATGAGCTGATCCTAAAAGATGACACAGCAAAAGGTCAATGTTGGTCAAAGATATCTAACAGTGCTATAAGAGGACAATGAGATGAATGTCAATTGATAAAAGGCAAGGGAAACCCAACAAGGCACAAAGAGGATACTACCAAACTTCTTTCCTGGGACACAAGACACTTTGATGAGATGCATTCCTAGATTTCCACCTGTGTTTGGTGTCAATTCCCCATCCCCACCTTTAGCCTGAGTGGTTGGAATAGAGGAAGGCAAGATGAAAGGATAAAGAAGAATGCTTTCAAGGTCTACTTATCCGCCACATGGCCACTGCTGCTTACCCCAAATTTTCTGCCTTTGATTACATCTGGACTCCTCGAACCTTTCCTATAACCTCAAGGTTAGGCTCCTTTTTTCTTAAGTTGGATGGGAGTATGGAGGCTCACTGGGAGTGCTGGTTTGGGCTCAGTACTATGGAAGTTACATTATCTACCCTGAAGCAGTGTAATATAATGAAAAGAACCTGTGCTTTTAAATCAGACTTCTTTTGATCTGAATCCCAGGCCTACTCTTTGCTAGTGATGAATCTTGGGCCAGTCACAAACTTGCTAAGCTTCATCTGGATCATCTATAAAAATGGGCACACCACCTACTTGGAAAGAGCCTCTAAAAGATTAACCAACCAGTGTATGTGAGTGCTTAGTTTTATGGCTGACACCCAGAGGATAGGCAGGATCCAGGAATGACTCTTCACCTTCATCTACTTGGGTTCTGTTTAAAAATGCTTATTCCATGACAGAACTAGCCATATATCATAATGTCTGATCCCTTTTATACCATCCAGGATCAGCCATCAACAAACATCACTCAAGCCCCAGGAACTTTGCCTATTACCAAGCCGACATTCACCATAATTTCTACATTGCTCTTATTCACCCTGTGCTGTCTCAGGCAGAAGATGCAGAAAATAAGGAGGAGGCAGATGTGGCTTCAAGTTCTTGATTAGAAGCTTTCTGGGCAGCTGACTCACCTGGGTGAATTCCCATTCTTCGTCCTTGGGGACCTGGCTATTTTTGCCAGTGAAATGACAGCTCCTAAGGTCCAGAGTATCAGCGCTGGCATGTAGACACAGCTGCTTTGCAATGTTGTGGCGAAGGTCCCTTTGGGTTGTGTACTCAAAGTACTGGAAACCAAGACAAGAAGAGGTTAGGTACAAAGTTTGCCCATCATCTTCCCAAGCTACCTTCCCCAAGAGGCCAACCACGGATGGCTTCCCGGAGTGGGAGAGCAAGTGTACAAGGCCATGCCAAGACTTTAGTAATTTTTAAAAAAGTTTATCCATTAATTTCTTCTGTGAGCAAGAGAGACCGAAAGAGAAAGCATTCCCAACAGGTTTTTTTTAAAAAATTATTTATTTAATTTTATTTATTCATTTATCTTAATTTGGCCAGCGAGGAAGAGAAAGAGAGAAAGCAAGCCACCAGGTTCAGGATTCGAACCATAGTCAGCCATGTGGGAATGTCCAGCACCTTAACCACCACGCCACCTGCTGGTCCCCTCCAACAGGGTTTTGATGCCATGATCCATCCCCAGTGTCCAGCCAGCCCCAGATCATGGATACATGTGTGCCCAGTATACCCAGGGATGCCTCTGGACATGAACTGAGAACCTTCTCATGTGAGATTGCTTCACAGAGCTTTGTGTTTTATCACTGTGCCATTCTCTGGCTCCAACTTTAGTAATTTATATTCCACCTTTATGATTTTTACCATATCTGAGTTACATTGAAATAATAGTTATTTTCTTTAAATTAATTAAAATTAAAATTAAACTTAGCCTCATTTCAAGTAACATTTGTGAAAACATATATTTCATATGCTAGTTCTATTTTTGGTAATAAATTCCTATTAGAACAAAAAATGTTTTGGCCAGTCATGTAGCATGATGGTTAAGGCAGCCAGAGCCCAAATAGCTGATCATGTGATTTTAATCTTGGCCCTGACAGATTAAAAAACATGTTAGGTGCATGTATATGCATGCTCCAAATCCTACTAAGATGGAGAAGTGGAGAAGAGATTGCAATGTGACATGCCAAGTTGGGGGGTTGCTTTCTCTCTCTTTCTGTTTTTCTCTTATGCCCTCTGATAAGGTTTTTTTTTTTAATAATTTTTTATTTACATTTATTTATTTATTTTAACTTGACCAGAAAGGGACAGAGAGAGAGAAAGTGAGAAAGCAAGCTGCCAAGTCCAGGACTCGAACCACGGTCAGCCATGTGGGGGTACAGCACTTTTAACCACCATGCCACCTGCCAGCCCTGCCCCTCTGATAAAGTTTTAAAAATAAAGAATGTTAATTAATGGACCACCTAAAATCATCTTGCAGGCTTTAGAATGACTTTGTTTTCACTCACATGTGCCAGCAGCCTGTTCAGTGTCCCATACCACTCCTCTCTTTGTTTCAGCTGTTTTATATGCCTCTTACTTACCAAAAGCTGGGCATTCAGGGTAGATTGAGAAAAGGGGAATTGGAAGATTACTCATTCTTCCTCAGGGAAGTACTGAGGCATTATAGGGTACAGGATAAATTCCTAGAATGTCAAATAACTGAGATGTAAGGATGTCAGTAGGTGGTTGTTTTGGGGTAACGGCTGGGTGGTAAGATCAGAGTGGTGGCCTTTGGGTAGCGGAGGCATTTAAAATAGAATATGAGTGTAGGTGAGTAAAAGTACTCAGAAATTTCCCATACCCATCCCCCAATATCACCCAGCAGCTGGCCTCCTCCAGCAGGCCTTGTTTGGTCTTCCCTCTCATCCTTTTCTAGTTCTAGGACTGATACTGGTCCTCTCTCTCTCTCTCTGGATGTCCTTAATTCAAACATCAGACCTTGCTGTTCTGTGTCATGCATTCCACCTCATACTGGGAGGGCAGGGATGGTATGTCCTCTTCTTCAGTATCTCTTCTACCTCAATTCTCATAAAGGACTATTTAGGGTAGAGAAAGGAAGCATGTGTGGATAGGACCTGCCCCAGAGACATGCATCTTTTGGGCCTGGCCTGGTATAGCTGGGCTGTCTACCTGGTTGCCGCCCAGACCATGGCAGGCATACATGATGAGAGGCTTCCCTCCGTGGTTGTTCTCACCCACATCCAGGCATTGATTGATGCCGAGGTTCTTGATCTGCAGAGTGGTAAGCAGAGGGCAGAATGAGGATACCACAGCCAGGAGTTTCCCTGTGGTGTGGGGAGCTGAGCTGCAATACATTTGCATGGCTGAGTTTCCCCTCTGTGATTTTTCTCCTTTGTTCATTGACCCAGATCCCTGGAGTTAATGACAAAGTAAGGTATAGAGCCCCAGTGGCTGAAAAGGACAGGAGTGGACACCCTCTACAGGTAACCTCCTAGGATGCCAAGTCCCTGGAAGAAGCTTTCAGTGTATGGGAATTTCCTTCAGGGGTGTCAAAATGTGGTTTCCAGACTATCAATATCCTCACTTGGGGACTGGTTAGAAGTACAGAATTTCAGACCTCACTCCAGTCCTTCTGAATAAAAAACTCTGGGGTAAGGCCCAACAATGTGTGTTTTAACATGCCTTCCTAGTGATTCTGATACAGGCTAAAATTTGAGAAGTGACTATGGATTGTTTTCCCCTTATAAAGATGTTAGTTATCTCTAGAAGTCCCAAAGGGACCACTCTGTCCTCCTTCTGGATAAAGGAAGTAGAGTGTAAAAGTTAATTCTTGTTTGTCATCCATCTGTGGGGTAAGTGGTCTGGAATTTCTCCAGGGGATGCTATTATGGGCAGATAAGCTGATCTTCAAGACTTACGGCTCCATAGAAAGTAGGCTTCAGGTCAGGAACAAACATCTCTGGATAGACGTTGTGCAGGAACCAGGAAAAGTTGCGACAATGTAGAAGTTCTCTTAGTTTCAGCCGTTCCGAAATGTCACCAAAGGATTTCTGTCAACCAAGCCAGCCCCCTAGGGTCAGTTCTACCTGTTTTGACTTCCTGACTGGGCTGAAATAGCATAGACAGCATGGAACTCCTCGGACTTCCTGGACCACCTTTTCTCATGCTCATTTGTGATCAGGACCTGCTGGGGCTACTAGCTTATCCTCATATCCAATCTCAAACTTTTGGCTCTGGGAACTCCCTCCACTTATAGTCCTCTACTCCCATCATCTCTGATTCCCTAGTCAGTTCTCTCCCAGAGCCTCTTCTGAGCCTCTCAGAGCCATTCTTTTTGTATGAGGATCTTTCTTCAAATCTCTTCTTTCTTCCCTCCCCTCCTAAGGGGTGTTGGGACTCTCTAGATAGGGATGACCAAAGATCCTCTCATTCTCTAACCTTCAAAAATCTTTGCATCCTGGGGCCTTCCCCAGGGCTCTAAGGAGTAAAGGAGGCACCAAATAGTAGAGGTGGTTGGGGTCTCTGCCATAAGCTCTTGACCACAGTCTGGAATTCTGTATTTCTCTTCATCTACCTACTTCCCAAGCACAATTTCCTCTTACCTCTTGGGCCATCTTTGCTGCCTGCAGATTTCTCCTGTAGAATATCTGCTTGTAGCTATCCATCCAGACCTCAGCCAAGCGCACTTGGTTGCGAGCAATGACATTGATGCCCTTGGGGAAGGTGTGGGGGCTCTTGGTACGGAACACATGGCCCACCACAGAGCAGGGAATGATCTCCAGTTGGCCCCCACACTGCCACACCTGACAAAAGAGGAGACAGGATGGGCCTTGAGGGTGGGGAGTGGGATGAGACAAGCTCCCCACAAGCAGCTCTGCCAGGACACCAGACTAAGTCCAAGGACTCAGGTAAATGCTGCTCTCTCTCCCTGGACATTGACCAGGCTTCTTCCCAGGCCATGACTACGCAAACCTATGCTCTCTGCTGTTGGTTCACTTTGGTTTAAGCAAATGGAGATTTGCAGGGTCCTGAAGCTATCAGGGCCCAATTTAGAGATAAGACAGCTGGTTAAGTTTGTGTTGGTATAGACTCAGGAGCTTATTTATACAAGACTACCCAGCTTCCAAATAGCAGGTCTAAGCTTTAAATGCAGGTATATGACTATAAGGTTCATAGTTTAAATGCTACCTGGGAAGCCATTCAAATAGAAAACCTGAAACTTCTACTCATGGATATTATAATATATGTAGCTAGCATCTACTGAGCATTTGTTATCTGCTAGGGAATTTCTAAGCCATTTATACATATTACCTCATTTGATTCTTATCAAGCACCATAACATATTATCATGTCATAGGTAAGGAAACTAAGGGTAAAAATAAAGTACTTTCCC